CTGAAGGCGGTGCGTGCAGTGTGCCAGCAGGCAAAGTAATACCACACCACTGAATTCTGTTTAGCTACTTCTAAAGCTTTGTAGCTTTAATGGCTGGAGTGTCCGTCCGCTTTCTACGCGCGATTCGGCCTGACATGGTCAATGAAATGTTGCATCCACCTTATGAACAAATCTCTGGTCATGTATCTTGATTCATTATGCAATTTTATTATTCCTACAGGTGCGCCGTCATATAAAAGTGGGTTAAATCTTTTTCGGGCGAAAATTATTGACGGTGGTACGTAAGTTCCTCCAGAACTCATGCACACTACAACTGTTGTGTGTACACCCCTTTCTGCTCTCGTGATAGAGCCCACTTGGTTTTTTCCTTTCTGAGCAAAGACTTTTGGCGGAACTTGGACGGTGGTCAAGGCTGATTCGTCCATGTTAAATATCATGGTATTTTAAATTTTGTGTTCTTCAACAACTTCTTTTAACTTATCAAAAAATTTATTTACCTGAGGCTTATTAAATGCCTCGGCCCGTGCAAGAGACGTAGCTTCTGGAAGCTACGTCTACGTCTGTTCAATAAAGTCACTTTATTGAACGGATGATTAATCTTCATTTTCTCTGCAATTCTATAGGCTAGCTTGCATAAGTCTGCTCTTGTCACGCCAAAAACCGGGATTCAAGATACAGAATGTGAGTAACTATTGCAGTCTCCATATCTTCGTTTAAAACTGTTGCCAGAGAGCACAAATGTTTTTTTGCTTCAATAGCAATTTTATTTTCATTACTTGCTCGACGTCGTAGTGTTGAGAACGGTACATGAAATGTATTTCTTGCTTTAAGCCAACCCATTTCGGAATTTCGGACTGCCACCAAAGCTCTTTGCATGTTTTCCTCACTCCAACTATTTCTGTTAGACTTCCTTTTATATAAATAAACCATCTGCAAAAAAAACTGAATATGTACCTGAAAAACAGACGGACAAAATGGTATAGTATGTTATTTTGCCCGCCATAATGCTATGCCATTTTGCCCGTTTTGTATTTGCCGACTACTGATAGGTGAAAAAAATTAATAATGGAAATAAATACAATTTTTATTTAAGGTAACATGCAGCGTATAAAACATAATTAACAAAAAGTGAATTCAAAAAGCTCTATAACCTTAATTTAATAAATTATTGAATAAAACTTACATTGACGCATTGAACTCGACCAGCACTTATTCACTAATACACCAATCTCGTGGCTGGCCATTAAATTAGGTGCACGAGAGCCACGAGACTTAATGTGAACAGTGTTGCCACTGTTTATAATAAGTATCCAGAATTGTGGTGAAGTAGAACCGTTAGCTTGACTACGAGAACAAAAAACCATTTTGCCCGCCTATGCCATTTTACCCGCCCTACCCCTATCGAGGATACATCATTTATGTTTTCTAAACAACAAACATATAAAATCAGAATTTGGTGTTTATTGAGAGTAAACTAAATGTAAGACCAAATACTTAAAATGTCGGGATAGTATGATGAGGTTTTTTTCTGAGAGAAATTCTTGAGAAATAAGAATTTTACTGCCAATATAGCATGTAGTTGTCTTTTTAAAGACGAATTATATGCTATGATTTTTTCTGACGGATATTTCCAAGTAAAAGTTGATTTCATGTAATCGAATGAACTATCTTACAAGTAAAATCGTCTCAGGAACGCAACTCGACAATATTGGCAATATTGTTTTAAAGTCGTCTACTTTAAAATGTATAATGTATGTCTGAATTGTCAATATAAATAAGGCAGATAAAATCAAATTATTAGAACGATTTTTTCACCAACTAACAAAAAACAAAATTTGTTTAATGTACTAATGCTTACATTTTCAGAACGATTTCCGAAGTGGAAATTAAAACGTCAATAAACTTACTTTAACCTGTAATTGTGGACTATTCCCATTTAATAGTAATTATTTTAAAAGGCTACAAGAAAATAGCTTCAGAACAATAAAAGTTATAGATATGGATTGAGAAAACTACAAAAAATAAAACTAATGAAGTAAATAAATAAAATGTTGTGAAAATTTGTTTAAATTGATCTCCTCTAAAGTGAGCAAAAGATAGTTACAATGTTTTTCATATCAGGTGTCGATATTGTGGTCGCGGCGAACTTTTATCCTCCCTTTGTGACGGCCCGAGTTATATAGAAGTTATCCTATGTGCGGAAAGTAACAAAGCTTTTGTGGTGGCTGCGTGAAGTATTTCGTTACCCTAAGTGCAAAATGTTGTATGTAAAATTAGTTTACTTTACAGGAGGTAGAAAGAACGTATTTATTTTAAATACATTTTTTTTAAAACATGGGAACAAAAAATATTTATCTTTTTAGTCTTTACTTTTAAAATGATTTTGATTACACAGCAAAAATTATATGATATACTTAGTTTTTTGTACATACGACACTTTGCAACTTAATTTATAGTTATAATTGTACATACGACTTTTTTCATGTAGATGTTCAGCTTTTTCACTTTAATTTCAAAGAAATAAAGTAACATACGACATTTTTAAAAAATTTATTTACTCAACTTTTACTCATTTTTGCAACAAAACGGTAAGCAAAACTTTTTTCTAGTTGCCACGACTCAAGTTGTCGTAAAAAAAGTGATAGTCCTCCTCAAGGCAAGCTTTTAATTCTTGTAGTCTTGTAGTCTTATAGTAAGTCTTTATATTTCCTGTCTTGAATTGGTAGAGATTTGGAGTAAAAATGATTGAGTGTTAGAAAAACTTTAATGATTGGTTTTGGTCTCCTAAGTAGCTCTAACCAGTTATCTGAAAAGTTTAATTTGTACCAAATATGGCCATTTTTTACATACTTAAGGCACCTTAGATCAGTGACATAAGGGTCTCCTTTTTTGAATCTGGTCTTATACTTTTGTAGTATCCATTTGAAAAACAAAGAAAATCTTTAAAATATAAGCTTTCTACACAGTAAGGGCTTGGATGGATTCTTGATTCACGTATTGCTCTCCCGTAGTCTGCCGGAACGTAATGCTTTTTGTCCTTAAGCTTTTTTTCTATTTTGCTATGCATGGAGTCTACCTCCATTTGTGTGTGTCCCACTTCCAAATATTTTTGATATACAGTTACTCATGTATGACAAGTTAAATACAGTAGAGCATTTGAAACAGTCTCACACCTGTTTTGGTAAGTGCAACCATCACTCCAAATAATTATTTTATTGATGATTGGTTTTTTTTTCAACTCTTTTCTCAAAAACCTCACAATCATTGAAGCAAATACCATCACTTTCTACACCTCCATTACCTTCGTGCCAAACATAGCATGTGACTTCATGTGTTGCCAAGTTATAAATAGTCCAATTGTAAACTTTAAGTTTTGTTTTATAATAGGCTGTAGATCCCTTTATATTTGGACAAGTGAGAACTTTTTGCACATTAACAGCATTAACGAGCACTTCACTTAAGTGTTTAGCCCTTTTTTTATCTGTTTCTTTTTCATTTCTAGATTCAACTTTCCTATTGTGGTGATCATCGTATTGTTTATTTGTTATTTTTCCCAGTTTGTGTTTTAGGCAGGTCTCACACTGATCTTTTTTAGGAAGAAAAAACCTGACATTCTTATTTTCAAAAACTACATGAAAAAGAACTTTTAATGCTGGTTGAAGTTGATGCTCTCGGCAGACACGCTCATATTCTCTGTAAAGTTGACTCTTGCTTTCCCACATTGGTTCTAAATACACTTTGCTTGTTTTAGCACGGCAGTAGTGCGATTTTATTTTGGCAAAGAGTCTAAAAACTGATGGGTTCCCCTTTTTTTTATATCATCCCTAGATGGCGTCTAAGTACTGAAATCAATATTATTTGTAGATTCTACGTTTTCATGGTTTTCTCGATGAATAGGGATATCAAGGGGTAATTTCATAACCCAAAACGTACATACCTTTCCCCTAAAGAGAATGTATTTAAAAACATTTTCTTATATACTCGCATTCTTATATCACCCACCTTCAAATGGTACTTAAAAGAACAATTTTTACGCAAATAGTTAAAAGCAAACGTAGTTTGTTTTGCTTCCCAACTTTCAATTTCTGTCCAAAAATTTGTGAAAAGTTGAAGCCTGTTATCTTCACTCACTTTATTACACATTCTTGCATTCTTATATCACTTACCTTTAAATGGTACTTAAAAGAAGAATTTTTACACAAGTTCTCTGAAACAGTACTCGGTCGTCGAAATTCTGGTGTAGATTTATCCAGTAGTAGCTGGACACAATAGTAGCTTGTTCTGCTTCCCAACTTTCAATTCCTTTCCAAAAATTTGTGAAAAGTTGAAGCCTGTTAGCTTTACCCACTTTATCTCAATGAAAAAGTCTATTCTTGCATTCACATGGAGCTTTCATTTTTCGTTTTTCTCTTTTAACAGAAAGTTTGTACTGGCCGTTGTCTTGTTTTTTTAGACCTAAATATTTTTCTTCTTTTCTCCTTTTTGCTGCTTTAAGAGATTGTTCCCAATTTCTTGAACTTACATTTTTCCGCTTCGTTCTCTTCTTTTTGGTTGAAAGCAAATTTTCCGTGCTATTATTAAGGCCAATCTACTGATCCTCCTCTTGTGTAACATAATCAGTTCCTTCTGAATTGTTTATTTTTTCAAAATTAATTTCCTTCTTTCGTTTTGATTTCACGTTAGTTTTTGGTTTCAAATTCAGTAAGTTTTTTTTGTTTTAAGCTTTTGTCTTTTAGAAGCAATATTACTACACTCTTAATCACTTGTGCTTGGTAAAGGTTGGTAGTCATCCTCAGACCCTGAGGAATAATCGTAAGTCACGCTTTCATTAAAAACGTCCATCATTTTCTTAACTTTTTCTCTGGCCTTTCCTTTAAAACTATGTATACATGTAAAATTAGATTGTTCAAATTAAAATTTTGGCACTATGACAGGTACCAGTGGGCTACTTGGTCCTGTAGAAGTAGATTCTTCATGCATACTAACATGGTGTATATAGCTAACGCAGACATCAGTTAGTTTACTGGTACTGGGTAAGTTTAATTTATCACTAGCAGGTGGATTTAGAGCAGTAGCAGTAGCAGTAAGTATTGATCGCCTGGTGATTATGGACTCGTTATCGATGCAATAAAAGCAGGAAGAGAAATTTTATTAAAATCAGTAAGCGAACTGTTAATAAATGCTTACATGCGCGTACGATTTCAAAAGACTGGAACAATGCAGTAATAGTCTTGTTGCACAAAAAAGCGAAATTACTTATTTAGAAAATTATAGACCCATCAGCCTCTTGACACATATGTACAAACTCTTTATAAAAATCTTAACAAAGAGGCTAATACCTAAACTTGATTTCTATCAGCCCAAACAATAGGCAGGCTTCAGGGCAGGATATGGCACAAATGACCATTTGCATACCATAAAGATCTTAATAGAAAAGTGCATCGAGTACAACATACCACTGGTTCTTGCATTTGTCGATTACGAGGAGGCTTTTGATTCTGTACAGTTTGAAGCAATACTGGAAGCACTAAATCAAAGCCGAATAGGTTACAGGTACACGACACTAATCAAAACCATCTACGAGAACGCTACATCAAGTATACGACTACACAAAGACAAAGAAAAATTCATCTTAGGTCGAGGAGTTAGACAAGGAGCCAATATTTCACCAAAATTGTTCACGGCAGCTCTAGAGTCAATATTTAAGAGCACTCAATGGCAAGATATGGGCATCAATATAAATGGAAAAAGATTAAATCACATAAGATTTGCAGATGATGTATTATTTGCAGATAATTTACATGATACAGTTTTTATGATGCATTCGCTTAAAAGTCTGTCTGAAAGAGCAGGATTAAAGATAATCTTTGAGAAAACTAAACTTATAAAAAATTTTGTAATGAGTGGAAATACAACTATTGACAATAATACCATACAACAAACAGACACTTACAAATATCTGGGACATGAAATCAAAATAAGCAGAGACAATCAAACACATGAAATACAGAGGCGAATAGGCCTAACATGGGCAGCATTTGGCAAATTAAGCCATATTCTAAAAAGTTCAATTCCCATGTATCTCAAGCGAAAGGTTTATAACCAATGTGTTTTACCTGTAAAAACTTATGGAGCAGAGACTTTGACACTCACGCAAAAATCTGCGGATAAACTCAGAGTTACACAACGAGCCATGGAACGTGCAATGCTGAACGTGAGCCTTCGAGACCACATAACAAACCAACTAATTAGTCAAATATCAGGAGTTCAAGACGTCATCGAAAGAACCACGACGCCTAAGTGGAACTGGGCAGGGCACTTAACCAGAACACAAGATGATCGGTGGACAAAACGTATTATGGAATGGAGGCCCAGAATCTATAAAAGAAGCCGAGGACGACCACCGACTAGATGAACCGATGATATAAAATGTGTAGCGGGAAACTGGCTACAAGCGGCCCAGTGTAAAGAACACTGGAAAGAACTGAGGGAGGCCTCTGTCCAGAAGTGGACGCAATTGGCTGATTGATGATGAGGTGGATCTACTTCTTGAAAATTAGAAACAGGTGGTAAGATCTCTGCTGGCAGCAAGAGTCTGAAACATAAATTCACAACTACACTGTAGTAAACTACTTTAAATTTATGGTTTTAGTTTTAAATGTTTTAGAATCACTCACCTCTAAAGCCAATAAAAACTGTTCTGAACATTCTAAACTTAAAGATACTTTTATAGCCTAGAAATACTCACGTGGTTAAAACGGATGTTTCTTCACTTCTCACCTTAAAATAGCACAACTAAGTAAAATTAATAATAATTAAAACCGTTTTAAGAATAATAATATGTAAAAATGAATGTTTCTTTAATGTGATACACCATGAATCGAACAATTATCTACGGGTCACGTTTTCACTGTCAGCACATGGACAACACTTCCATACATAAGGCTTTTTGCAGTTACAACAAATAGCTGTAAAAACATACGACTTTTTAATTTCGTACTATAACTACTGATAAATCAGCTAATGACATACAACATCGGTTAAATATCATATGGAACAATGTTTATCGCTAATAAAAAAAAAATTAATTTCTTACATACGACATTTTGCACTTAGGGTAACGATTTGACGATTTATAGATGTGTGCTGCTATATCGGTCGCGTATACTTTACCTACTTTAACTAGTACGCACTTAGTAACAAATTACTTTACCGAGCAGCAGTAGACAAACATAGATTACTCTTCTACATCACCCTTACGTCTACATGATACAAGAAGAAGACTTACAGCTATCAGTCTGCATTAAGGTGAAACATAATATTATTTATGTTCGTCTAAAAGTATGGTAGATTATTGTAAATAGTTAAGCGAGAACTGCAAAATTCTAAGGTATGCCAGATTCTTAAAACTAATAAAACAATCAGTAATTGAATCAACAAAATTTCTGTAGTTAAAAAATAACTAGATAATCTTTCTCTAATACAGCCTTAGCTAATATTTTTGGAGACATAAAAAATAAATATAAATTGTCATGCTATGTCTAGCATGTAAACGACCTACAAAAAGTATATTTAACATGCACTTTCCTTCAGTTAGACCAGCATAGGAATTGTAAAAATAAAAGTCCAGCGAACATTCAGAATATTTAAAAATTATTTTCATTTGCACGAATGCGAAATTTTACTGGCGTCAAGATACCAAGGATTTTACATTTCATGTATATTTCGTACCATTTTAAATAAAACAATGCCTTTCGCGATGCAACGTGGTGAATCGCTATTCTGACTGAAAAGAATTGTTTCTTATGAACAGCTGTCACTTAATCATAGGATGAAACGGTCTCTATTCGCACAATGGTATTGTTGTCAAAGGAGAGGTCGCGTGTTATAGACATAAATGAAAATAAGCCAAAACCAGGTTATCTTGGAAAGGTTTTTGAGGTTTTAATGTTAAAAAATTAATTATATTATGTTTACAAAATTCATGCTCATTACTTTGTTTTTAGGAAATAATCAGTTTTTCTTGCTTGGTAATTACATGCTTGGTCATTAAATGATTCTCTATGCACTGTAAACGTAAACTTTATTTAAACATAAAATTGAAAATATATAATAGGTATGCAGGTATCCAAAAATAAAGGAATCTCAAAATCTAAAGCTCTTTTTTAAGGCCGTTCCTTGCGTTTCTGGGCATAGCTAAGTTCCAATGTAAAAGTTTATATCAAATAACGCAAAAACTATGGCAGATATTGAGATGATTCTTTTTTTATATGGAAGGTCTTAAAAAGTTCTAGTGCACTATTTGGTTGTAAATTAATAAATTGTTTAAACAATATTTTTTTTTCAAATATTTTTGGTTAAAATAAACGTAAAATTTTTTTTTTGAAATAGGGCACTACAGAATTTGACCCACTTTCCGAATCTGTTTTTATTTTTAACATAAAGTGTAACACAAAGCAGCTATTTGATATAAACTTTTTTAAAAATCTCAAATTTTGCTATATGTAACTTTCTCTCTCGGCCAGTACAGGCTGTCCTTGTCGATAGTAGATTCTCGCCGACGCGACGGTTAGGTTGGTTAGGTAAGAAGTATAATACCCTCTCGAAGGTGGGTCATAAATAATGTTGAATAACATTATTAGGGTTTATTTCGACTTTTGACAAACCAGTGTGTTAATTGTTTTTAAAATGGGTAGTTCACGAAGACGTTTATGTTCCGATTGAGGAAATTTTATATAAATAAGCAGTAATACCTATAATTTGATTAAATTTTTGTATGAATAGAAATATTTTGTGTTGATTTGTGACATTTCCCTTCTAAATGTTTATACTTTTTTTATAATAATACTATTATTTCAGTATTTGCTTATATAATAATAATTTATTATGTAGAAACAGCGTAGAATTTTGGTCAATCAGCCAGTACATTTTTTTGTATTTCAATCAGAATTATTATTTTCTTTTCTTCTTTACATAGAAGCTTAGAGTAATACTCAAATATTTTGCAGTATTTGAATACGGAATTTGATTATTTATATTTATTGGACAATACCCAAATATTTTGCTGTATTTGAATATGGAATTTGATTATTTATATTTATAGGAATATTTATTTTGAACGTTTTTGTTAGTAAAGTTTACATAATATATGAAGTTTGTTTCTTCACTTGCTTGTCCAGCCATATTAGTCCAAGGTAATAAGGATTTTCTCGTGACACTCAATAATCCAGGTAGCTGACAACTTTTTTAGTTATTGTAGACCTATAAGAAGAAAACCTACCTGTTTCCTGCGTAAAGTTCGGAGCCGTTTTTTAATGAATAACAATTTAATGCAAAAAACGCGATTCTTTCGATTTTTGCACTCTATTATTTATTTATTTATTTTTACCGACAACAGGCCGTTAAGGCCTAGGGCATTTTTTTACAACATAATTCTAATATTAACTAATTACAATTATTTTAAACAAAACTTTAACTTAAATATGTATATATAATCTTAACTACTCTGAAGGACCTGGTGTACAATATTTTTCCATTCGCTTCTATTTTGTGCTTTTATTTTCCAGTTCCTCACCTTCACGTGTTTAAGGTCTTCCTCCGCTTTACTAATCCACCTCGTTCTGGGTCTACCTCTTCTTTTGGGGCCGATTAATTTTCTGGTTATTACTAGTTTAGGCATTCTGTTTGCTGCCATTCTTTCCACATGTCCCAACCATCTGATTCTTTGTGCCTTGACGAACTTGGTAATGGTAGGTTCTTTGTATAAAGCTATTAATTCATTGTTGGTTCTTCTCTCCCAACCATCTTCTGTCTTCCGTCCTCCGAATATGCATCTCATTATTTTCCTTTCCATCTTTCCAGAGTACCCTCTTCCTTCTTATTTAATGTCCATGTCCCACTGGCATGCTTCTAGGTTTTTAATGTTGAATTTTTTAAGTGATTGAAATAAATAAGCATTCTTATCCGGAGCGATATATTGATATCGCGATTACAAAAAAATTTTCTCATTCTATTAAAAGTTGACCGTGCAATTCCAATGCGGCATCTTATTTCTTTTGTCTAATCAGTATCTTCTGTGATCCATGCTCCAAGGTATTTGTACAAAGATATTTGTTCAATTTCTGTATTATCTAGTACTAGCTTAACTTTGATGCTTTGTGCTTTTGTAAATACCATGAACTTGGTTTTCTTCAAATTTATTTTTAGTCCAAAAAATGTACCTATGATATGATATAGGTGTTTTCTAAGGTAATCCTCTCTTCTGGATTCCGGTAGGTGTTCATACAGGTACTTGTTTTAGGAGTCTACTGTCTTTCATTTATTGGACCTGTACTCATTTGAGCTGCTTTCGTTGTATGCCATCCATGACTTTACCTACTATTCTCATACTTTATTGCATTAAGTTCGACGGGATATCTTTCTTCGATGTCTCTGTTAATCGTCGTGTTTCACAACCGTATAAATAAAGCATGCTTTTTACCACAGTTTCATGGGTTGTAGTGCTAGAGAGAGCATGTCAGCTGTGCCAAAACGAAAAATAATCCTCCTTATTGCTTCCACTGGAATAACCTTGACCATTTAACTGGGCCCGGGCTACCTCCTTCTAATTCTTTAAACTCCTGTTTTGAAATTAATAATACTCATTATTTTGTCTAATTACCTATTTAGTTGTCAAAACAGATACATTGTTACCTAAAGAAGTGAAAGTGGTTCAATTTAGAAATTATATAGTAAATAATAAATATTTGAAAACTGATGCACATATTCCTCCCGCGATTTGGGCTTCAAGTACTAATTTTATAAATCGCACTTCTACTATTAGACGTAAATCCTTTCATTTTAATTTCATGAATGTTTTTATTCAACATTATTTCAAAACCGCACTGAATAGAAGGCTCGTTTATTGTATAGACCCAAGACTTTACACAATAGGGGGTTGTATAAGGTAGGTATAAAGCTAACCTCCAGTACAAGATGACGTTTAGAATATTCTTCGTGAATGGATTTTGTTTTCGTAAAGAAAGATATTTTTGAAATATATATCTCTCTGAATTTTACCGTTACAATTTTCGACGATAAGCCTTAACACAGAAATCTTGATATCTGCAAACGACAAAAAAAAATTATCATAAACTGTGTCAGTTAGACATTTAGGCTAATATGTTGTAAGCATTATTTAAAAAATAAGTAATGCGAAACACTACATCTAAAATCTGTTTAAGACAGATTTTTAATAACAAGTAATAAAAAAAAATAAAAATAATGTGTTTCTCGACCCCGTAGCTGAATACACTACATTGACAAAATGGGATGATCGATGTCTGCCTGTGACACCTCGTTCCAAGCAGCTTGAACTTCATGTATTAACTATGCCAGAGTCTGTAGAGG